TATTTTGGAATAACATCCTACTCTCCCATCATCCTTAGAGAATCATCATGCTATCTGTACTCTACAACAGTTATCTCTACTATCTCAGCCATCCATAAGAATAGAATCATTGCTTGGTACCAGTTCATTTTTAGGATTATTAAACAATACAATTAGTTTCTTTTCCTTCCCATCTCTCCAGCACCTTCTCACTAATATTGGATTAACTCTTCATACTATTAACACAATCTACAATCAACAAAAGTTTCACAAGATGGTTTTAAATAGAAATACAGAATAATATAAATGTGTATTTCAGTAAACATACATATTTCCCAGCTCAGACAACTGAGGGGGCCTAGAACCAATGACACCCTAATACTAAATGAGATTACCTAGTGTCCAGACCTTGTGTTCTTATACATATAATTCTGTAAATAAAAGCAACTAGGTCTTCCTTGGAGAAAACCAGGGCTAGGACAGGGAAAGCATAAGACTGGAATGTCTTTAAGTGCCAAAAAGTAACAGAGTACAAAAAAGAAAAAATAGAAACATGTCAAAAAGAAAACATAAGCCAACAGGCCTCTGAACGGCCTAGGATAACTGAACTACAAAATAAACAATGACTGTAATGAATTATAATCCATAGGTTAAAATAAGAACCCATGAGTTCATACTGATAGGTAAAAAAAAAAAAAAAAAAAATACATAAATGATAAAGAAAAGTTCTTCCTTATAGTAGAATTCCAACTAATAAAGTAGAAGAAATAATGGAAATTTTAAAAATCACCATTTGGTCAATACCACAATAAATGATTTTTTCAGACAATATTCATCAATAGATGCTAAAATTGGTATATGATGAGCAACTACTACAGTGAGAAAAAGAAGATATTTACAAAACTCTCAAAGTACCTCCCCCACAAAATATCTATTAAGTACACACACACAAAACAAAAAACCTTATAGTAAACTAGTAATCACCAAGTGATCAAAGTAAACATCACCATGTACTTCCTGAGAAGGTGCATAAGGATGACACAAAATGAGTTCTGTGGAATTTCTGCCAAAAATGCGTAACTTGAATTCAATCATAAGGAATTATCAGACAAACCTAGATTGAAGAAAATTCTACAAATTAACTTACCAATCAGTATTCTTCAAAGTATTAGCATTATGAAAGGCAAAAAATTCTGAGAACTGTTCCAGACTAAGGGACACATGACAACTATTAATAAATACAAAGTGTGACCCTGGACTGGATCCTGGACCAGAAAAAGGACATTACTGCAGCCTATCTGGGTGGTTCATGCCTATAATTCTAGCATTCTGGGACACCAAAGTGGGAGGATTGCTTGAGGACAGGAGTTTGACACCAGCCTGAGAAAGAACAAGACTCCATTTCTACTAAAAACAGAAAAAATTAGCCAACATGGTTGGTGCATGCCTGTAAGTCCCAGCTACTCAAGAGGCTGAGGCCAGAGGATTGCTTCAGCCCATGAGTTTGAGGTTACAGTAAGCTAAGATGATGCCACTGGTCTAGCTGGGCCAATAGAGTGAGCAATAGAGTGAGGACTCTGTCCCCGCCTTCCCCTCCACCTCCTAAAAAGAATATCAGTAGGTTAACTGGCATATTTTGAATGGTTTGCAGATTAGATAATAGTACTGTATCAATGTTAATTTCCTGATTTTTATATTTGTACTATGGTTAAAAAAGATGTTAACATTTGGGGAATTTGGCTAAAGGAAATACGGAAATTCCTTTTGTGGTTTTTGCAACTGTTTTATAAGCCTAAAATTAGTTTTAAAATAAACTTAAGGCCGGGCGTGGTGGCTCACGCCTGTAATCCTAGCACTTTGGGAGGCCGAGGCGGGCGGATTGCTCAAGGTCAGGAGTTCGAAACCAGCCTGAGCGAGACCCCGTCTCTACCAAAAATAGAAATAAATTAATTGACCAACTAAAAATATATATAGAAAAAATTATCCAGGCATGGTGGCGCATGCCTGTAGTCCCAGCTACTCGGGAGGCTGAGGCAGTAGGATCGCTGAGCCCCAGAGATTGAGGTTGCTGTGAGCCAGGCTGACGCCACGGCACTCACTCTAGCCTGGGCAACAAAGTGAGACTCTGTCTCAAAAAATAAATAAATAAATAAATAAACTTAAAAAAACTTTTAGAAGCCTCATGAGTAGGTAATACACAGAGAACTTGTGTATAAATGCTTGGCACATATAAACATTCAAAACCATTAGCTATTAATGCTATAATTTAATATACTATAACTAGACTTTATTAAGCTTCCTGACTTCTTAGTTACTCATTTAATAAATATTTCAGAGTGCCTACATTATGCCCAGTAAACAGAAAAGGAAGGAAAGAAAGAAACAAGCAAGCAACCAAGGTAGGCAGGCAGTCACTCCCTCCCTAACAGATTCCTGACACAGCTAGGGTTGGTCATTTCAAATATGCTCTAGCCCATGTACCCTTTTTTATTCTCTCCCTCTTTACAACTGAGTAATTCCAATCCTGCCTAATTCATGCTCTCTGCTTTTCATGTTCCTGTTCCTAGTATTGTTACCAAATGCATGTATTCTAAAAATAAGGATCAAATCCCAGCTATGTGACTTTGCTCATAACTTAATCTCTCTGACCCTTGCCATTTCTTTATTTATAAAACTGGAAGGCCTTTAACCAACGTTTATAGAGTTGTTTTGAAGATTAAGTGGGATCACATAAAAGTAATGGGCACACAGTAGATGCTCAGAAAATGTTTGTTTCCTTTCCCTCACAAATTATATTCTCTAACCTCAGTAGGATCCTGAACAATTTTCTTTAACAATTTCTAGGTGAATCCGTATTCTAGTTCCCAAAGAGGGTGTTTCGTATTTTCCCCTACATATTTAAAAAAGTATTAATAATGTATTTACTTTATGCATTCTCACAGCTTCTGTATTCACTGAAAATTCAATTATCTAAAAAATATGCGTAACTCCCATCTCCTTCCCAAACATCAGACCAATATTTGTTTTTCTAAACACTAACTAGATTCTCTCTCCATGTCAACCTCAAACTCAAGATAAGATTCCAAAATCACACTCTATGCTACCACCTATTGGCTATTACCATGCTCTCCAGCTATTAATATTTCCTTCTTTTTTGGAATGTTAAGCCAGCCTCAATCCAGTGAATATATTTAATTCCCAAATTCTAGTCCTCAGATGAGATGCTCCAAGTGTCCGCAAAGAGTGCTGGTATAACCACTTTAAATCTAACACAACTAAAGGAATGACAATTCACATTATCTAGGCTCTCTCCCTTTCTTGTTTCCCATTATAGATGTATGACTGTCTGCAAAAATAGTAAGTGCCACAGACAGGTAGTATAGTGTCTAACAGAGAAAAACAGCTTTTCCAGAACTGAGCTGTCAAAGGGAAACACTCTATTTAAAATTCAACTAAATACTGCAGAACTACAAACAGTAAAAAAAAAGCTCCTTAAATGCTACATTATTTTAGACTTCTTATTTCTGTATTTTCTTTTAAAAATACTCATATGCAATTTTACTCTCATATAGCAATAGAAAACTCTCAATCATATTACAAGACTCTATTGTAGTCCATTACTAAGTTTAGAATGGCTCTCTTCCTAATCCTAACCTGAAAAAAAATTAGTAACTGTTCCTTTTTCTATTCTATTAAAATTTCTATTAAATGACTTGCCCAATAAACAGCCACAACATGCTAATACACACAATTATAATGGAGCTAAAAAATTCCTATCACCTGGTAACGCTGTAGTTATAACAACATTATAGCACAATTACTTTACTTTTTCATAAATTTGGTGTAGCCTAAGTGTAGAGTTGTTTATAAAGACTACAGTAGTGTACAGTAATGTCCTAGGCCTTCATATTAACTCACCATTCATTCACTGACTACCCCAGAGCAACTTCCAGTTCTGCAAGCTCCATTCATGGTAAGTGCCCTATCTAGGTGCACCATTTTTTATGTTTTATACTGTATTTTTACACTATTTGAGGGTTGAGCGTTGGGGGAAGGAGTTTAACCTTGTAGGAGTATTTAAAAGAAAACTACAAGAAACCAATCATGTTATTTCAGTAACCCAATAATAATGCTAATGATCTGAACTACACTGATGACTAGAGAAATAAAAAGAATGAAATTCATTATGAGGGAAGAATTGATAGAACATGGCCAGTGATTTTAAGTTGAGAGGGTATAGGGGGAGGAGGAGGAATCAAAATGTTACCAAGGCTTTAAAACAGGGAATAGAAGTACCATTAAAAGAAACACAAAACAGTAAGCCATTATTAATAAATATTTCCAACTACTGAAATTACGTTTCTAAACCAAAATTGTTTAACACAAAGCAGTAGAACAGAAGCCCAAAGATTCAGCCAGATTCTACAACTGAATATAAAAAGCATTTACTTTTTTATAAATCTGGTGTAGCCTAAGTACAGAGTGTTTATAAAGACTACAGTAGAGTATGGCAACGTTCTAGGCCTTCATATTAACTCACTAATCATTCACTGACTCCCCCAGAGCAACTTCCAGTTATTAACTTCTAGATATTATGAAGAAACATCTTATATTAAAGCATAAACCATAGTACATCATAAATCTACCTGAGTTAGTGTAACTGCCTGATCTAGATCTATGTTACTGTTCTTTCTGTACCACAAATGACTCTCATTACTTGAATTACCATACACTTCATATTTAAAATAAATATGACAGTTTAAGACCTTGTTAATTATTCTGACTAGTGAATATATAAATAAAGCAATGCATGTTGGGATACAGATTTCTCAATAGGCTAATCAACAGACTGGAAACAGTTTAAACTGCAAAACCCAGAGTTATTATCAAATCCTTTTATAAATAAATATGGACTCATATCTTTATGTTCCTATAGAACCTCCAACTGTAATAAAATGTTTTAAAAAATGAAAACTTTAAAATACCACACCAGACAAAAGTTTCACAAGCTTCTTGGTTACCTTTACTTTATCTCTTCTCAAGCAACAGAACAGACAATTTTCATCAAAAGTCCAATCAGAAATGCTTTCAGGTTCATGGGCTGCAAATTAATAGTTACAAATTAATAGTGATAAAAGAGAATTTTTCAGAAAATAAATTAGAATTAATTTTTAAAATACTGTTTAACAAAAACCTTAAGTAGGCAGATTCCATATTTGTTTTAAAATTCTTAACTCTTAAAATGCTTATGTTAATTTTTAACTGTTCACTAGTTAATGTTAGTCATACATATATTAACAATACCAACTAAACACAAAAAGATGTTTGGATATAGCTTTAACTCACATGCTATTATGAATAAAAAGGAGGAGAGTGAGGATTAAACCACCAAGATATCACGTATGTCATCAGGAATAATTTGAAATACCAAAAATATTTCGAATACCTTTAAATAAACTGAGATCTTTTAATAATGCAGGTCCAAACAGCCCTTCAAGAATACTTTCAAATCCTGAAAGGATAAAAAAAATCCATTATCACAATAATATTCACTACAGTAGTATTACTCTGTTGCATGAAAAAATGATGGTGATTCCTTCCAGTTCTCAAGGATCCGGATTACTATTGAAGGAATGCTGAGAAAAAAGTGTTGATGACAAATCTAAAAGAAACATCTAAATTTCTGTCAACGATTAACATCCAACACAAATTCAGAGCACATTCAAGAATAAGACAAAACAGATGCTAAAAATAACCAAAGAAGAAATGGAAATTCATGGGTTCTCTTTGACAAAATCCCAAATACTTCTTTCCATACGCTCAAGCTCCATTTCAAAAGGTATTTTTCCCAATGAAAGAGTCAAATTGCCTGAAGATTTCCACAACTTTCTAGAATAATCTAACATTTTTCTGAACACCAACTGAGATCAAGATTTTTCAAATTAACAGTTTTTTAAAGAAAATCCTCACTGAGAACTTCTAATTCACACATACACAAAAGCTACAGCACAATATTTTAAAAGAAAAAAGACCTTTGTAATTATTTCACATTGCCATAATAATTACTTCCTGGTTCCCTTATAAATATAAAATCCACTAATTATACATACAAATACATGAGAAAAAATTCAAATATATACTTGTATACAAATGTTTAAAACTGTTATGTCCTTCTACCAGTGTGATTGAAATAGAAAATGAAAACCAAAATCAATTTTTCTCACTTACAACCTCAAATACTGCTGATCTACTTAATGATAAACAATTTTAAAATGTCTGTAACATTGCACTGTTTTTTTTTTAATCGGTTAAGAATAAAAGAGAAAAAGAAGAAAGGAATCAGACTGTATATTTATACAACATGTCAATAATGAATAAGAGCAGTGGTTCCCAAAAAGTGTGTCACAGACCCAAGAATTCAAATAGTTATTACAAGGGGATCTGTGAATCTATATGCACTCTACATGTAACTTTCAAAAAGAATTAATATGTCTTATGTATTTGACATATATACTACCTTTCAAACACATAGGGATGCTACCATAATTAAGAAAATACAAACAAAAAGTGTTACTGAATTCCTAGTAGTTTGGGGCACTATGTATTTTGTCACATAACCTATTATCTGGGGGCTTATAAATTTTTTAATTGTTAAAAAGCACTCCCATGCTTAAAAGATAATCACGAATTTAAAATACTATAGCCTGCTGGATACATGAAGTCCACACACACATAGCATTTCTTTACTACAAATACAATCACAAGAAAGGATTTGGAAGGTAAGGAGGTAGACAAGATAGTCCCAGAAACAGTTTTGTTTATGTGTCTCTAAGAATAAGATTGTAATATAAGGGATTCTTTGCCCCTAGTATTAAGCCATTGTTTTCAATAAAGTAATCTTTAGGGCTTGTGTTACCTTCCATCGTAATTACAGTTGATTTTTCTACATACATACAAATTTTTCTACACTGTGATTTTTCTAAAAGTCCATATTTTTCATTTATTATTAGGGAGCAATTGTTTTCCAACTCTTCTTACTTTTTCCCATCAATATTATTCTAAGCACATTAGCAAAATTAAACTACCACTCAAACAAATGGAGGTATCTATGTCTGTTTATTACTTCCCAGTAAAATTAAAACATTTTCCAGTAAATTACTATGGCTCCCTCTCTTCTTCACACGAGAATGAGAAGGGATTGCTAGATAATGTCTATCTTGACCCTGGAGGCCAGATATTCTCAGAACTAGCTTTTTTTTTTTTTTAAATAAATCCCACAACCTATCTCTAACTCATAAACCCTCCTACTATTCACCCTCAGAAAAAAATTCTGATTTCACAAATATTAAAGTATTTTAATATCTTGAAAGTACCAAATACATACACTACAAATAAAGGAGATTATAGGTAGCTCTTATTCTGAAAAGTAAATCTAATATTCTTTTATGTGGGTTTATATGAAATTATAACAAATTTCACACTTTCGTGCTAAGCATAAATTCTTGAAAAGGAAGACTGTAAAAACAGCAAGAAATAAAACTAAGAAAGAAAAAAAGCAAATAAAACTATTGGGAGATAAAAATTTATAAAGTATAAAAAATGGAATCTGAAATAAGAAAATTAAGAACTTCATCAATAACACAGACACTAACAAAAACTAAATCCTACATCAAAAAGCAGCAAAAAAGACCAAGAGGAAGCAAACAAAAAAAATCTGTTCATATGCCCAAAAATTTAAACAACTCATTTTTCTCAAAATTGTAACTGTAAACAAGTCACTCCTCTTTTTGCTCATACTTGCAACAATACATTAAACCTTACAAATATTGATTGGACACTGTAAAGTCATATTTTGCTGCTCTCCATTCACTGGATGTTAATAACACTCAGTTTTATTAATACTGAATATTGAATTTAGCAGTTGCATAGCAACAGGGAATATCTCATGCGCTATGCTTGACATTAACAAAAGGCAAATAAGGGAAGAACAAATATATTCAAAATTTATACTATGATATCACAGAAAAGCCATAAAGATCAATAACAAAATGCCATGGAAAACTAAATACAGAATAAGACAGCCATGTCATTATGTTCAATCACTAGAGCTTAAAAAGGATCTTTACATAATATATTACACATAAAGAAAATGTATTTATTGTATGAAACTTGACTACTTTCAAAAGAATTTCTAATGAGTGAGATGCACACCATCTGGGGGATGGTCATGCTGGAAACTCGATTTGTGGGGGGAGGGAGGAAAAGGGCATTTATTGAAACCTTAAAATCTGTACTCCCATAATATGCCGAAATAAAAAAAAAAAATGAAAAAAAAAAAAGAATTTCTATCCATCATCACAACTGGTCTCAAAGCTGGTCTCTAATCTCTTCCTCACGGTAATCTGCACTGTATCTTGACTTGCTAAAACACTGCTTTGACAATCCAACTACCTCTTCAAAGTCCACACTGCCTAAAGAACAAACCGCAAATTCCTAAATCCAGCAATCAAAACTGCTTATAATTTGACCTCAATGTACTGTTATCTGGCTGATTTCCCAGAACTTTCCTGCTCATTCCCACAGCTCTGATCAGGCTGGTCTTCTACTGTGTTTGGTGATCATTTCTACCTCCTAATATTTTCTCAATCCTTTGCATCTTACCTGTCCAAATAAAGCATCTTTCTTCTTCAATGCATTCTTTAATTTACTGGACAAATACATATTGACTTATTCAACATATTATTAACTGAGAGCCTACCATCTGCCAGGGACAGTGGCAGGCACTGAATAGGCAATGGTGAAAAGACATGGTACCTGCTCTCACCAAGCTTTAATTTCCAGTTCTTTCATCCTCAACCCCCAGCTAGCTGCACTCTTTAAAAAAAATAAAAATAAAAAGCCAATTGTCAAATGTCTTCTCTGCTTTCTCTCACATGCAAAGTATTGCTTATGCAAGTAAAATTTGTCATAGGCTACCTAAACCTTGTGTTTTTCTTTTTCTTTTCATTTTTGTCTTGTCTCCTCAAGGAGAATTAATGCTCCAGGTAAGGCTAGGAAGGTCTTCCCTTTTCCCCACAATGTTTTTCTTATATTAGAGCTTTACATGCCTGATTTTTAGCTTCTGATTTAATCTTACAGCTTTCAAAAACAAAAGACAAAAGATTAACATCTCCCATAAATTTCCCCCTTAAATTTAAATAATCTCTATTTCCAAACAAAAGGGGGAAAAGCAGATTATGAAAAATAACAGAATAAGAACCTATCCAATACATAGTTAGCTAAGGTTGGCAACACAGCCTGTACTTTTGAAATAAATAATTATGGATAGAATGAAAAAATGATTCATGGGGCTTGGGAACTTCTCCTCTGACATAACTAGTATAGGGATTAGTAGTTTGAGAGATGCTAAAGCAGTAGTCCTCAATATTTTTGGCACCAGGGACTGGTTTCATGGAAGACAATTATTGCAAGGTCGCGGGTGGTGGCGGTAAGGGTGAGGATGGTTTCAGGATGATTCAAGTACATTACATTTATTGTACACCTTATTTCTCTTATTATTACATAAGAATATATAATGAAATAATTATACAACTCACCAAAATGCACAATCTGTGGAAGCCCTGAGCTTGCTTTCCTGTAATTAGATGGTCCCACCTGGGAGTGATGGGAGACAGTAACAGCTGAAATGTGTTGCTTATGTCCAGTCTACTCAGTAATCTTGTTTTGGTTGCTGTCACTGCAGAAAACCCTGCTTCACAAAGATAGGATGTTGGAAATGGAAACAGGCTTTTCAGTGCTTCTGTGGCAATCTCAGGATATTCCACCTTGACTTTAATCCAGAACATATGGAGATTTGAAGTTGTCTAACATACTTTTAAGGCCACCATCATTTGCGATCTCAAGCAGTTGATCCTCTTTTAGCACAGAAAAAGTCAATTCACCTGGCTTATTCACAAATGGGTTGTGGATCCATTCCTTCCTAGTTCAGGAGTCTTTTGTGTTTAGGAAGTAATGCTCAAACTCATGTGAAAGCTGAGATAGGTGATCATGCACCAGCTGGGAGAAAGAAGGCCCTGGCTCAGTCTCTTTCAAAATCTCTGCTAATGTTTGAAATACATCAAAAATCCCAATGTTCACTTGTCACCCCCATAATTCCAGTTCGGCTTTGAAGGTAGCCACGTTATCTGCCAACTTTACTACAATTGTTGTTCTCCTCTTAAATCTCTGGAGTGGCTCTCTTAACTCAAATACTCTGGCCAGTGATCTACTTTCAGAAAGCCATCTCGCTTCTGTGTATAAGAGAAGACGTGTGCTCCGTGTCCCATCTCCTCACACAGCTGCTCTAAGAGACGTGAGTTAACGGCATGTACTTTAATGTGGTTGATAATTTGAATCACATCCTGCAAAACGCTTTTAGTTCAGGTGATATTTTTCAGCTAGCCAGCATTTCTCTATGGATGACACAGTGTGTAGACTCACATTCGGTGGGACAGGCGTGGTGGCTCACGCCTG